GGAAGCTTTGACCGCCACTTTGACCCCACCGACGCAGTCGCCACAGTGAGTGGAAGCTTTTCCCCTCCCTAATCGGACACCAGCGCTGCCACAGGAGGCTCGCAGCGAGCTCGCCGCCGGTAGGAGCACCGCCGCAGGAAAAACAAGGGGAATAGCCCCCTCGCCGGCCACCCGCGAGTACACCTGGTGCACAAGGACCGCGCCTGAGAGATGGAGGGTGGACTCGGTCCACCGTAGACCTATCTGCGGTCCATGGACCAGCCCTCTGATCCACAGTGAGCCGCGCGCGCACGCCGCGAAGCTATGGACGAAGCCCAGTGAGCCCCAGCCGCCGTGACGTGCAACGCCACCAACTTGCCACGCGTGTCCGGCCAGTTCGCCCAGCACCGCCCAACCCGAGTCCACCAGAGCCCAGTTCGGACCCAGCCCGTATTGACCGTTGACCTGGCCCCACATGTCAGTGGCACAGACACTCTGAACCCATATGTCAGATGGTGACGTCATGCTGACGTCACGCGGGACCCACACGTCAGAAGCCAGCGTAGCCGGGGTGACGTCATGCTGACGTCACACTGACATCACCGCCGTCGGCAGCCTGCCCCCACACGTCGCGATGACCACGATCGTTGATCAAGACCGTTGACCGTTGACTCGCCGTTGACTTTGACCGGACCCACCTGTCAGTGACTCAATAGCCTCTGGCCCCACCTGTCGGTGAGGATGACGTTGATGACGTCATGCTGACGTCAGCTGGACCCCACCTGTCAGCTCGGAACCGCGATGCTGACGTCAGCAAGCCACGTGGACCAACCACAGCGTGACACGTGTCAGCCCAGGATTAAATCAGCATTTTCTATTTTTAGAAATGATTTAAACTTCGGAAAATCATAACTAATTCATACGACCTCAGAAAAATATGAAACCAGGACCAAAATTCATCTAAAATCGAGCTCTACGCAATGAACCCATGTTTGAGTGCATTTGGCTCTTTTGAATTTTCATTGCTTCTTTGTGCTATTTTATAGACGTCGCTAACGCGACTATAATGCGATCGTTTGTAGACTCGGAAGAGAACCGGACGGACGAGGATCGTGAGTACCGTGAGGAGTACGGAGACAACTACACTGAAGGTGCCACATCCTACCCAATCTCGTAGCACCTATTACGCATGGCTAATATAGAAATGCTACTGCTTACTTTATGATCATGATCACACTATGGTAGGACTTGCATGGTAGTATGCTTTCTTGATGGCCTTTACCTTGACGCAACCTTACCCCTGCTCACCCTGCTGTTAGGCTACTCACACGCTTGCTATTATATTTCAATGCTTATTACTTCTACTACACTTACACTACATTGATGCGTGGTGGAAACTGGTGATAATTGAACTATGGGGAAAGTGCTGCGTGTGTGATTTGGGTGCGTGGAGGGTGAGGGTTGTGTCGACCAAGTTGGAGTATACGACGAGCCTGGGGCAAGTCTTGCCGTGGGGTGCGACACAGGCACCCCCGAATAGAGATACTGTGGTGGGTAAATGGTATATGAGGTGGCCCAGGTGTGATCCGGTGATGGGAGGAGCCAGGGTGGAGGTCTTTGTGGTGGCACGGTAAATGGAAACCCCGATGAAGACATTACGCTTGGTCATCCCTAAGGACTTACTAGTACTCAGATTCACCGGAAGCCTTACGTACCACTCGCGCCCTATATGGTGCGGGACGGCCGGACTACTTGGTAGGATTTTGCCACTCACTGCTAGGTTGATAGCGGACGATGTAAGGGAGGTACAGGGGTGCGGAGGATTTCCCCACCCTTCCGAGACTTCATGGAGACCTTGTGGACCCGGCTCATGACTCACAGCCAAACCACCCCTGCATCGGACTTAGGGTGTATCGTATGAATGGTAGAGTGGCATTATCCTAGGCTAGCAAGCGGCCTAATCAGCCAGTTGATTGGCCGGTCGGCGAGGAAGGCGGATCTTGTGGTTATGTAAAACCTCTGCAGAGTGTATGGTTGATCGATCGATACATATGCCGACTTGTCGGCTATGGACCTTTCCTACAGTTTTTGCTTAAACTAGATAGTGAGATGAGTCCTTCTCTTCTCTCCACAGGAGTGAGTGTTTGGACGTAGCTGGGGCTACGGGCCATGAGACGATCTTAGAGGAGTTGGCCTTGGCTGTCGAGTGATGGTATGGGTGTGGTATGGTGATGGTGTGGAGATGGTGGTGTATCGATCCCAGGATCGAAACCTGGCTCTGGAATGGGAATGGGGTGGAATGTGTGAGAATGGTGTTAAAACTTGACCAACTGATATAATGTACTTGATATGCTAATACATAGGAAACCCTAGCCTTATAGGTTTCTTTTTTAGTATATCCAACTTGCATCTAATTTTCACAAAGCAATGCTCATAGGGTTGGGTGTGGCCAGTACAAATCGTACTGATAAATTTTGGGCACACAAGTTCTGCTGAGGAGTATAGCTCCGAGGAGTTTGACGGTTGAGGGGTTCGTTCCTACGCTCGAGTTTGACGATCTTATCTTCAAGCTGTTCTGAATGAATGCTACTTTTGATTCCGTCAATGCGGCGATGTAATAATCTATGTAATTCCGCACTATTTGTACTATGATATTATTGTTGTATGGATGTGATATTCGACTGGAATTTGGTTAATATGATCTACAACGGTCTTATTACACTTCGACTCTGTAGATTTTCCTTCGCGGAAATCGGGATTGTTTCATGCTCCATACAGATCCCAGTGTCGCTGGAAAAATGTGCCGGGAACCACCGGTCCCGGTGCTTTTGTGGGAAACATCAGAAAAAGAGCCTCCTTCACCTCTAGTCCCGTGAAAGGCATCAACAATTTATCATTCATCTCAGGCATGACCTTCACAGGAACTGTACCTAAGACAGCTTCCATATTATGCACTCCCTCCGAGCGAAATAAATTCCTGTAGAATTCCCTTGTCACATCTCTCATCTCTTGCTCGGACTCAGTAAAATCACCATTGGCCTTCTTCAGCTTACTAATCTTGTTTCTTCTTTTTCGGCGGCTTGCACGAAGGTGAAAAAACCGTGTATTTCGGTCCCCTTCAGCTAGCCACATGATCCTTGATCTCTGCCGCCACATAATCTCCTCTCTGTGATTTAATTCCATTATGCGTTCCTTGATCTTCAACTCAGCATGTGATGGACCAACTCGCAATGGATCGGACTGCGGACGCTCTTGCTCAGCAGCTAGCTTACGCAGCTCCCGACGAACATTGCCAAAGGTCGTCCTCTCCCAGCGCTGTAGGTGGCCACTGACCTCACCTAATTTGCGCCGGAGATCTTGCATGCTGGTCGGTTCCTGCCCCCTCCTAGGCCTCCGCCAGCGTCGACGAAAAATCATCGTGGGTTTCCCACATCACCTCGTATTTAAAACTCTTCTTTTTGCTGCCACTCGGCTCGTCCGATCGCCAAGAAAGGATGATCGGATCAACTAGAGGATAGCGCTTTCATATGTCCAGTTCCTCCCCTCGAAGCCAAGATCCGCCAAGCCACACACATCAATAGCTTCTCTAAAGCCCTCCGTCTGTGCGTTACTCCGCTCCTGCACTCCAACATGTTCGGACCTGTCCAAAACTTCGTTAAAATCACCTATGCAAACACAGGGACGCGGAGACGTAGATTTTCTGAATTTCAGAACATCCCACGTCTTGTGCCTCTTACTGGTACGTGCCTCCCCATACACACATGTCAATCTCCAAGGCATAGAATCACCTTTTAAGATAGCATCTATATGATATTATGAGTATGGTAAAATCTGCAAATTTATATTATTCACGGCAAACGAAAAATCAAAACCTAATGTGGTTTTCAACTGCTCCACCCTCGCCTTGTGCACTTGAGTCTCCAGAACACAAAGTACAGAAGGGGCAAACTGCTTCATCAGATCACGAAGCTCCTTCACTGTCGCGTCGTTGCCAAGTCCGCGACAGTTCCAACTCAAGCAACTTATTGGGGGATGGCGGCACTCCTCAAGGGAGCCCGCCCCATCTTCCATTATGCGCTTCCAATCTCCCAATCACGAACAAAATCTTCCCCGAGATCGAAACATCACCTCCTTCTCGCTGAAATCCTTCAAAGTCAGCAGCTTGGTCACTGCCATCTGGACGACGCCGATGCAGCCACCGTCACGTGATCCACTCGGCCGTTGGTCCTCTACCTTCCTGCCAAGGCCGGGCAGCTGCGCAGGGCAACCCCGTAGTCAGCCCGAGCGATCAGGTAGAGGGAAACGTCGGGGGAGTGGCTGAGATCCTCCTACGGCCGGCCACCGGAGGGGTCGGCAACCCTAGGCGGTTAGGTCGCTGCCGCCATGGGGGCGTCGCTCGGCTCTCAACAGGTCGTCGCCCACTCGCACCGAAACGGGAAGTTATAATAAATATGCCTAATAGTATATAGGCCTGGCCTATATTTCTTGGCCCAAGTTCTTCTCATGCATCACACAGGCTAAGCCCAAAAGCAATATGGTGCGGTGCTGAGTTGGGCTCGCAATCAACCATTCTGTAACGTCAGCACTGCCTCCCCTTCCACACTTCCACGAGAACGAGACGGACCGGCAGAAGGAAGGAGGGCGAGAAAAGAAGCGAGCCAACCAACAAGGAGCCAGAGCCACGCGTCACGCGCGTCGCGCGCCGGTAGACCCCCGACCGCCCGACGGTGTGCTCGGCGCTCCGGCGGCCCGCGCGGCTCGAGCCTTTCCATTTCTTTCCCCCACGGCACCGGCTGGTTTCACTCGCACCAGCCACATAGTCGCCCGCTCCTCTGCTCTCACGAATTCGGACCCCACCAAACCCTCACTCACCCAGACCGCCCGCCTTCCGCCGCCTCCATTTGCGCCGAACGCCGTCATCCGGGCAAGGATCGCGGCGGCGAGGGTGACCCGGTGTTTTGAGGAGGGTTTTGGGGGTTTAAGTCCGGGCCGCTCCGTTCGCGCGTCCAGGGGAGGAAAGGATGAGCGGGAAGAGGCAGAGGCAGGAAAAGGACAAGATGGCCGAGGAATGCTGCTTCATTTGCAAGGACAGCGGGCACGACCTCCGCGTATGTGACTCTAGGTAAGCCTTCGTCGTCCTAGATACGTGTGATTCAGCCGCCCCGATAGCTGTATTGATGGTGAACATGCCGGGTTTTTTTGGGGGCTTTTCTGTATCGATCGGTTGGCTCCGCCGCCCCGATAGCTGTACTGATGCCTGATGGTGAACATGCGGTTTTTTTTTGGGGGGGTGTTCTGTGTCGATCGGTTGGCTCTTATGGTGCGAAAAAAAGACTAGAATTCATCGCGATTGCTCTTTAATCGGTTGCGTGATTTCGTGCTGCTGGCTTGTTCCGGCGTATTTGGATGGCTGTGCGGAATGCAGCTGGCTAGATGTTGGTGCAGCGATTCTGCATGGTGAATCCACCCAGTCCCTTGGGGAAAACGTCGCCTGGTTCATTTTATTTTTCAGTCCAATCGTTGCCAACAGCTTTGCCAGCTAATTTTGCGTCCTTGTCCTTTCCAGGAACTGCCTCAAGGCTTACCATCCAGGCTGTGTCCAAAACAAAGATGAGGGGTTCATATGCGGTGAGAACATGTTATCATGAATGCGTGAATGCTATGTTAATGTCAAACAATAGTTTTGATTGGCGTTTTGCATCACACATGTGCTGCGCGATCATGATGACCATGCATCCTAAATGTGAGCCTGGTTTTATGAATCTGTAATGAGCCCGTACAGGGAAAAGTGTTTCTGGTTAATTAATTTGTTGGCAGCAGTATACACTAACATTTCTAGTGTTTTGACAATGCATCATCATCAATGACTGCTACGAAAGGACAATGTCCTTCAATAGTTCTGCAGATGCTCATGTCTTGAAGGCTGGTATGATCTGTTGCAATTAAAAATAGTACCCCCTTCTGTCACAAATACTTGTACTTGGATAACATCATAGTCTTAAGAAGATGTACTTTTCACGAGTATTTTATATTGATGTAAATTTGTAGAATCCATAAAATTTGTACTGTGGAAGTGTTTTGCCCCAAAAAAAAAACACCACACATATGCTTTTCATGTTTCTCATATGTATGTTTTGGAATATATTGATAACCATAGCTTTAGAAAGGACAAAAATTGGTTGTCACTCATGTTCACTTGTTTGTAACTTGGTTATGGCCACATATCCTGAAGTACAAACCACCTTATGAAATTATCCTTGTTCTTTTCTGGACATCTTTTTTTTTTTCAAAGTTATGCTGCTGGACATTTACTTTCAACTGTTTACTATTTTACGGAGCTACCTGTTCCAGCATTATGCAACATGGAACAGAAATACAACTAGCATTTCAGTGCCTCCAATAAAAACTTGTTAACATTAACTACCCAACTTCTTTTGTCTGACAACACATCAAGCTAACCAGGACTTAAATAGTTGCACATAATAAGAATTTTGTGCCTGACATATATGATCAGGAATTGTGGAATGTCTATTTTAGCCTCTTTTATGAAAGACGTTTTAGCTTCTGTACTCTTAAAATCTATTGTAATTCATTCGTGGGCCTAATTTTGACTTTGTACAGATTGGCACATATGTGTCCATTGCAGAGGACGTTCTGATTATCAGTGCCTGTGCTGTCCACTTTACTCGGTTTGCTGTGCCTGCCTTGGAAAAGTAGAATTTGTGCAACTGAGAAAGCAAAATAAGGGATTCTGCAGAACCTGCTTGAACCTGGCTATCGCGATTGAGAAGAATGATCCTCATGTGGTAACTGCATGCATGTACCCAACTATTTTTCTGAATCATGATACTGTTCTGAAATGCACTGGAGGCTGCATGCCATTTCATTAATGAAGGAGAAAAAAAAAATCCATGTATAATCCACACAGCCAGACTCACACGTGCATTCAAACCCAACCATCACACACATGGGCCATAGGGGGCTGCAGCCCCCCCCCTGTCTGAGGGAGTTTTCTGATGAGCCAGATGTCAGTGTTTTAGGCATTATATATTTTGTAGCTTCCCATGGCAGTTGCCTGCTGTTGCGTACAATAATTGCTAAGTAAGACAATGTATGTCTGACACCCACTGCTCTCCTGCATTTGCTGCTCATTACGGCTCTCAAGCATTTCTCTATTCTTAAAGCATCAACGGGCATTGTACTGAATGATGTAGGAGCTCATACACAATGTCATCAAACGAGCTTTACATGCACAAGCACGTCATCCATTTTTTCATCTTACTTGCTGGCTTATCTTGCTCATTGACAAAGCACAACCTGGAAGGTAGTAACAGCTAGCTTAGGTGTAGCATGAGCATATGGAATTGGCCCCCTCTTGATTTTAGCTCACGCTCCGCCACTGATCACACACCCACAACACTCCTAGAACAAGAATGCCATAGTCTAAGTGGATAAAACAGCCCAGATTCCTCAAGTACAATATTGGGTCTTTACTAGTCAGTTCTCGAAAAGAGTTTGTTGCTTGCTATAAAGTTCACTTTTAGTTCTTCCCCTCCGTAACTTTGTTGGATTTCTTTGTGGAAAGAATTCCAAACTAGTTTAGACTATATAAAAAAAATACAATTTGACCTCTGCAACATGTTTTTTTCCTTCTTCTGTCTTTTGACAACTGTTCATGTGCATCTCCAGGCAAAAACATATAACTACGAAATTTTGTTTAAAGACTACTGGGAAGGAATTAAAGATGCAGAACATTTGACATTGGTTGACCTGGAAGAAGCTAGTGATATTCTGAATAGAAAGCTTAACTGTAAAGAAGGAGCGAATTTAGAGAGATTTCCAGCTGTTGATCACAAGTCAGATGAAAATACATCTCCTGATAATGGCGCCAATGATCAAACAATTCCTTTTGACTCTAAGGGCAAACAGATTAAAGCGAACACATCACAGAAGAACAAGTCAAATAAGAGAACCTATGTTGGGTGGGGTTCCAGAGAGCTAATTGGATTCTTGTCAAGTTTTGGAAAGGATACGTCAAAACCTCTTGAAGAATTTGAAATTATTGGAGTTGTCAAGGGGTACATCAAAGAGAAGAAACTATACCAGGACGATAAGAAACTTCGTTTCTTGTGTGATGATAAGCTGCAACCCCTGTTTACGAGAAGAAAAGTGAGATGCAAAATGATCCGTAGGTTCTTGGCAGTTCATCTAGCTTCAAATGCAGTTTCAGAAGATGAAAGATTTTGTAGTTCTGAAGATGATGATGACGCCCCAGTTATTAAAAAGAGACCTCGGAATAGTCTGGAGCCAAAGATTGCTAAGAGGGTCTCAGAAAGAAGCAAGAGACATTTTGCCTCCCTTACTCAGAATAATATCAACCTAATCTACCTGAGAAAAACTTTAGTTATTAGTCTTTTGATGAGTCAGCCAGACATATTTGAACAGAAAGTTGTTGGCTGTTTTGTTAGAGTCAAGTGCGGCCAAAAGGTGCACAGCTATGAAATACCTAGAAAAGCATACCTGCTTGGACAAGTAACAGGTATGGATCACTTGCAATCATTCTTTCTTAGGTTTGATGGTTTAGTTCATTTGTGAAGAAAGGAAACAACTTTCTCACGTGCTGTTGGATAAATCTGTAACAGGCATCATGAAGTCTGAAAATGAATACAAGATAAATGATACATGTACAAATATTCTCTTATGTGTTACTGGTTTGTTGGATGATGTCAGTATATCAATGCTCTCAGATGAGGATTTAGCAGAGGTACTATTTTTTTTAATCCAGTAGCATTTTAATGCTATTATGTTAGTTGTTGCTGATGGAAAATTAAATTTACTGCTACATTTGTTCTAAAGTAGCTTGTCATTACTAAGTAGTTTGTGCAACATTGGTTCACTAATTCAATATTTAGCCTTTTTTGCCTGAATAAAAGATGTGGTGGAATAATTATGTCTTTTCCCTTGGTAACAGGATGAGTGTGATGATCTTATTTCTTTGGCTGAGAAAGGACTACTGAAACGGGCCACTGTTGTAAGATCATATTCTGAATTTTCTTCTTTTTAATGCAGTGGCAGTGCCTAACCATTTGAATATGTGGCACTGGTTAGAGTAGACTTATCATGCTGTTGAATAATGATTTCTTTCTTTCACCTTTGACGTCCATTGCTCTAGTGATGAGAATATTTTGTATCTGAACTGCATGTATTGTATGTGTGTGTACATTTATTGTGAATCAATATTATGGCTCTCATTCTAACATATTCACATGGCTAATTACTAATGCAAATCTGTTGCTGTATCTCATGTCAAACAAATAGCAGATTCTTCTAGCATATTCCAGTGCTAAAGTAAGATAATTCATATACAAATTCATTAGGGGATCTATGCTTCTTATGCTCTAAAGAATGCTTAGTACAATACAGAAGGGCGCTTGATTTGCAGGGGTAGACTGGCCTTGTCCAGGGAGACCTTTATTTTTGGGATGTTCCCTGGGAGTGTGGTTTGTGAAGGGAAATCTCTATGGTTGGCAGTTAAGCCACAGTCTTGTACATAAACTCTCTATTCTGCTTAATTGAAATGCAGAGCTCCTGCCAGTTCGTTAAAAAATGATCTAGGCAATTTTCCTTGGTTGCTCTTCCCATTGGATGTTTAACACTAGCAAATACTGAGTTATGAGGGCAAACAAACCAGATTGTTTTGTTAATAGAAAGGAAATTCACTAGTCCATAGAGATGAAGGACCACAGTAATATTTTCTATATGTTATATGCTAGCTAGTTAGAATGATGGGAAATGTTTTGGGTATTGCGAAGTGTTACTTTGTTTGTGCCAGGTCATGTCATGGATGGTTCATACTCTGTACTTGTTGATAGTCGAGGATCAATTTGTTTCCGGTTTTCCACTACTCCCTTCAGCCATTAAAAAAAATCTTTGGACACTGGCAGTCTTGTAAAGTGTAATGTGGGCTACATGGGTTCATAGGTTAAAAAAGTCCCGTGGGAGCGAATTTTCAGGCTAGGGTTAAAAAAGTCCCCTCGTCTGTCCCACACCAAAGCACAGGTCTAAGGTCCGGCCCCGGTCGTGGTCGTTCTCACATGGGCTACGGTGCCGCTGTGTATGGGTGGGGCAAGGGTTCATAGGTAGACCTACATGGGTTCATAGGTTTTCTCAACCTACGTGAGAAGGTCTTCTTCTTAATCCAACGCCTGGGGGTTGTCTTACCCCCCGCTGGTCGAGTTTTTTTTTAAGGCCAACCTGTTTACACCTAAGTTTGAACCTGTCAAGCTTCAAAAAAAAGTTTGAACCTGTCAGCTGGAGGCAGGGGTTCAGAGGTTTTATCGACTTGCGTGAGAAGGTGTTGTTCGCCCGGGGGCTGTCTTACCCCCCGCAGGTCGAGTTTTTTTTTAAGCCAGCCTGTTTACCTAAGTTTGCACCTATTAATATCTGTCAGCTGAAAATACTTAAAGATAGCATGTCTCCTGTTGTACTTGAGCTTCTAATGCATATGCTAAGCTCCTTTGTTAGTTTTCTGAGTTCGCTCTTTTTGGCAGACTGAGTTGGAGGAAAAGGTGGCAACAGTACATAAAGACATAGTTAATCATGTAAGTGCACTTGGCAGTTCAGTGAATGCTTATTTTGCTACTTCATGCTTGTGTATGTTGGAAGGAAAATGTATGCAGATAGATATAAATTAGAAGTTTAACAAGTAACTGGTTGTCTGAATCAACTGAAAAGGAGTACTTTGTAACTCATACTGAGGACATAGTGCTTTTCATGGACACGACATAGTATCAATATCAGCATTTCTTTGCTTTGAAACTTGTACACAAATATTTTATTGCTGTTCTCCTCTTTTGCTTAGAAACTTGAATTATTTGTCCACCATACCCTAATTGATACGGCTATTTGTTTTTGGAAATGCTGTAGTTCTGAATGGCAATATTACCTGCATCACATACTAATCTTTTGCATCTATTAGACAACATTTGATGTCTTAAAGCAAAATTTTAAATTCTCATGCTAGATTCAGCTCTTCATTAATCCTACTATTGTAGTGATATATCCTTTCTTTCCATGTGTTTGTTGCTTCTAATCTTATTGATGAAATTGGCATTTTCCAGTGGATTGAAAGAGAACTTGTGAGACTAGAAAGAAAGATCGACATTGCGCAGATGAAAGGGTTACACGTAGAATATCCTTTTTAGACTGACTGTGATCATCATGTAGAATAGTATAGTGTTTCATTTTGTTAATATCATCTTGCTTTCATATTTCACTGTTAGTACTTTAGAGGACCATTGAAGAAACTTCCCACAAGGTTTCTTCCTTGACGCATTCTTTTCTTACATTGGTGGAACTACTGGACCAAAAAAAACTTTTAAACACACCAGCTGAAAGACGGCGTCGTCTTGAAGAGGTTCCAGAAATTGTTCCGGATACAGAATACAGAGAAAAGGAAACTGAACTCCAAGTTGCAGCAAGCAACTCATCTCAAGAGAGTAGAGGTGCCAACACTTGAAATTTTGGTCTCTCGTAGCACTTTTTCCTTTGCATTTGTTTCACATTCATAATGGCCCTGAATCCCTAAGTTGTTACATGCTCAATCCAAATGGCGCTGTGGAAAAGTAAGCACAGTTAATTTATACAAAATGAAGCTAATTATTTTGTCAGTGCATCATTTTGTTGTGAAGTAACACCATAATTTCCCATTACAATTGAAGTATGCATATATATTTGCCCTTTCAAAAGCTGGCTACCTATACATGAAATTCTGTTCCTACAAGGTTGCAGTTGTTCATTAGCTATATTTAGAATGCAAGTATTCAGGCAAGTTGATTTGGAGATGATACAGCAAGCCATGTGACATCTGTTTTGAAATATTAGAAGTGATATTTAGTTATGGAAACTTCAGTTTAGCGTGCTGTGAGTTCGATTTATTTAGATTTTATACTTACTACTCCATGGCAACCTATGCTCCCGCACAGGCTAGAATCTTAGGAGATACAAGCATTAGATGTTACTGTTTAATACCTATGACTAATAAAAAAATATTTATATTGATAAGCCATAAGCAGCTTATAAGCACCAAACAGGCTCATAATCCTGCAACATGCCACGGAGTAGGGGCTCATCCAAACTTTTTAGTTTTCCTTCTTAGTTATCCTTCATAGTGTGCTCTGGTATTAGTGTGATTAAAGTATTTGCTTTGGCCATGCTTTGCACTTAAAGTTCGATTGTATTTAAGGATTTCCCATTCTCTTCTTTTAAGACAATGATCCTGCACATTTGACGGAAAATAAGCAATTTCGCATTCTGCATCTCTTGCCTTTTCTCCCTTTCCTACAAGTTATTTTAAACTGAGTATAGACAAAAGTGAAACTAATGGTAGTTTTCCTTGTCACTCTCTGACACTAAGACCTGCTTGTCTTGCTTGTTTTCAGGTGCCACTCATCAAGCAGTTGATTCTTTGAATGTTCTCAATGGGGAACCATCAAAAGGTATGATTAAAATCTACATTTGTCTGCCTTAGATCCTTTTTATTTTTGAATTTTATATTTTGGGAGGACCCAAGGTTCCGTTACAATTCTCTGTTCTCCACCTTTTCCTTTTAAGTAATTTCTATTCTGAACTTTTACTGCTAAACGGAACTAATGTCAAGTTTGGTTGATCTCTTTCTACTTGCTAAGGGCTAGGCTGTGGTTGCTACGTTGTGCTGTTGAATCTACTTAGTTGGGGAAATCATGACTAATTGTAATAAGATGTTATACTGTTGAAGCTCCACAAAACATGCTATCAACTAATTACTATATCCAAACTTAGAAATAAATTAGTGGTTTTGAAAGCCATTATAATGCCATTGGAGGCAAAGACCTGCTTATCTTGCTTGCTCTCCATCTAATACTAAAGCCTACTTACTTGCTTGTTCCAGGTGCTACAGAGCAAATACATGATTGTTTGAACGTTCTTAACAAAGAATCATCAGAAGGTTTGTTTCAGATATGGTGTTTTGAAAATTACGCTACCTGTTTTCCTTTACCTTATAACTTCCCTTATGTAACTAATCGCTATCTATGGGCTATTTTGCTGATTTCGTCTGCCATCAGCTGCATCTAAGCAAGTTGATGCTACTTGTGAAGCTCCTTCTGAAGGTTCTGTACTGTGATTCTTATCTAGTGCTAACACTTATCAGACAAACAATTTGATTTGTATGTTGATTCAACTTTTGATGTTCCCAAAAACAATGGAACCAGTCCGAGATATTTTATGCGCATATAAATTTTAATTAGAACTTGATTGAAACTAATAAGGATAATAAATGATGGAATGCTTAAATGTTTTAGGGTCGTTAGTTATATTGAGTAACTGGAATTCTGAAACCAATTGAACACCAAAGCCATAGGATCACTTAGTCATGTGGGTTGCGCTAGATACTAATAGACCACCAACTGTTACATACTTACATTCAATAGCAGGGATAAGGTAAATACCTTCACACGTATAATTCATTTGTTTGCATGCGGGTATAATGTTGATAGAAAATTGAATATATTGTCTTTTCTTAAATCCATTATGAACTGCTTGATCATGTCAGTTATGAACTGCTTGATCATAAATCCATTTCTTCTGATATAATCCTGTGCAATTAATGCTGCTAGTTTTGGATCTTATGTATTCATTTTATCCATGTAGCTCATGAAGCCTGCCTCAGTGGTGTTACTCCTGATCCTGCACTACATTATCAAATGGACGATACTCAAGGTTTGCTACTCAACACCTTTGCTAATGTGATGTATCCTTGCAAGATCTTCTAGAGGTTTCTAATATTTGCATGGTTGGCTCCCATTTCTTAATAATTCCAAGTTTGATCATATTGGTTTAGTGTCAAGTAGAATCTAGATGACTGGGCATTTGTTGCATTTTCCCCATTCGAACACATGGATTGCTATTCTGATTATATTGGTGTTTATCATATCCTGCTGCAGAAATAGCTGTGCATTTGCTCTTTGCTGTGAAGACATTGCACAGTGACATGCTATTCTCAATCCTGTCGTTAACTTTCTAACAGTCTCCTCTTTTTCTGCAATCACATTTAACTTTATTTGTAAAGTTAATGCAGATGGTAGCCCAACTCAAGCCATGAACATTGACCAAGATGAAAGTGACCACTCCCGGCAAGCTGCCGTGGCAAAGATTAATGAAGTTGTAGAAGTCATAGATCTAAGCAGTGATGACGATGAGGACCCTAGCACAGGGCAACATAAGCCAGAAGGCAAGGCGATGCATGCTCTAAGGGCCATGAATGGGGATGTTCACCTGGAGCAGCGAGAGCCAGCACCTGCAACCATGAATGGGGTTCTTCAGCCGGAGCAGCGACAGCCAGCTCATACAGCCATGAATGGAGTTCTGCGCCCAGAGCAGCACGGGCCAGAACATGCAGCCACGAACGGCGTGTCACCTTCGGCGCTCCTGTGGCAGTGGCACTACAGAGACCCTCAAGGAGAGACCCAAGGGCCATTCACGCTGATGCACATGTTGCATTGGAAACGGCTGGGCTTCTTCAACAACGAGGGCTTCCGAGTGTGGAAGACGGGGCAGACTTCTGAGCAGGCTATCTTACTTAGAGATGCCTTCTTGTTGCATCTGTAGCCTGCTCTCGTCGTCGATACTTTTTGGACCTCGTTTCCTTCCCGGTCTGGACCTCATGAACATGGAACACCTTTGGTAGGCTCGAGCATTGTGCCATTTTTGGATGCATGAATGTTCAGTGTTCAGTCTGGATTGGACGTCGAAATGGATCAACATGAGCATTTTTATGGTTAAAATAGGAACATTTTCAGACGGGCTAGTACTGTGTTGCTACCTCCTACTCTCCTAGTGTGCTAATGCGAAAGGGTTTTTTTGTGAGTCATTTCGAAGACGCCTTGCCCTCGCGGCCCACCCCAAGCCCGATGCTCACTGACACTGACTGGTCGACAACCCCGCGCGTAGCTGCCGACAGCCGACGGCCTCCGGATTCAAAGACGCCGACCGCCCAGAAGACTACCGCCACAGCCCCTCGCCGTGCCCTGTGCGTCGGGACCCCTCCTACGAAGCCGGCCGCCAGACATGAGGCCGGAGCACCGTCCTAGGAGTCGAACATGCACCTTTATGTGGCTTCCACGGATGGATTAGTGTTGAGACTTGTGGTCTCAGACAACGTGAGGAGGTGGAGGCCTCCGCCCGTCAAGCGCTGCCCTCAGGCTGAGGCTCGGGAAACAAACACGACAAGCGGGCGTGTAGGGAAATGGAACGTAAAATTAGGGTTTCATTAATTCATTCACCAACCTCTTGTACTGTTACAAGTGTTATCTATTTATAGGGCTCAACTACCACTTTTACAGAGTTTACAATAATACCCTTCTATTGCTACAGTACATTCTCGGAATATCCCACTACTCGTTTTTCTTCTTGGGGTGATCTTGTCTTGCCGCCCTCAGGTACTGGGCCTGCGCGATCAGCTGGCCCATCAGGCCTCAGGATTCGGCGATGGGCCTTTAGGCCTCCGCCATCGGTCTCCGCCTCGACGCCGGGCCGCCGCATGCCCCGACGCCTGCCCAAGATTGTCGCCCTCCCCGCTTGGGTCTCTGCCTCGCTAGCGGAGGCCAAACCGCGCCTTGCAGCGCCGCCCACGAGCGCCTTCCTCTCGTTACTGCACACACACATAGATAACGTTGGCACTTGATTAGCCTTGCGGGCGGGCGGCCTCCCCCTCGGCCGGAGACGCCACGAGCTAATCAAGGCGGAGGCTGCGCCCGGGTCACCGGCGGCGCCCCCGCAAGCGATCTGCGAAACCGCTATCTTTCGGGTCTGCAGGCGTGGTAGCCGGGCCTTTGCTTAGGTAGTCGGTCGGAGACGTCTCTGCGAATCGCTGGCAGCGTGGGTCTCCGCCACTCTCGGAGGCCGTGTTACAACAGCTCCCCTTTTTGAGACCACGTCGTGCCTGAAGCGTGTCGTGAACTCAAAACGCCCTAAGCAAGGATGTCCGCGGGGCGGAGATCACAGTAGTCACGTCTCCGACCGATCCCCGTAGGTTCCCCCCTGGCCCGCTCTGGCGTGGCCGCTAGTCTTGTCATAGTAGCCGTTAGGCTGCAAAACTAGCTGTTGTCCTACGCTGTGGCTGTTTACGCCGTATTGCTTTTCGCTGTATACCTTGCGACTTCTTTAGAGATGACCATTGGGCGGCAGGCGAATTGTCCGGAGATGACCGTTGTACGGCGGTAGCCAAACCGCCCGCCCGCGTCCTATATAAGGGCGGGGTTGGTTGCGGGTTCCCCCCCCCCCCCGCTGCTCATTCGCTTTCCTTGCCTCTGAGAAATCGCTCTCTGCTCTCTTCGGTTTCGCCTAAGCTGCCTTCGCGCGTTCCGTCTTTCCGTTTGCGTCTTCCACCTAGGCTGCTGCTGCGGTGGCTTCCTTTTTCGCCTCCGCCCATACTCGCCGGCCTGCCTTCTTCAGACCCTATCGCCACCTTCTCGGCGTTAGGGCCGCCGGCTAGAGTGCGCGCTTTGAGGAGTGCATGCTTGCCTCCGCCTCCGCGTTGGAATTTGAAAAGCTAGCGGAGGAGGATTTGGGGAGTGTCTCCGCGTCCGTCGGAGACCTGATCGCTGCGGATTCTAGAGACATGGCGATAAAGTCATGGGATTTCGGTCCCTCCTCCATTACTGAAGAGGCGGTCGCGGAGATGTTGAAGGAATCGTATTTTCCTTCTTCGAGGGTAAAAATCTCTCCGCCCGGCCAGACCGTTCCGGAGCCGGAGGAGGGGTATGCGGTGGTGTTTCGGGACTTTTTCACCTGCGGCCTCCGCCTTCCTTACGTCCCCTTCCTCCGCCGGTTGTTGGAGACGTTCAACGTCCAGGTTCACCATCTAACCCCTACGACCTTCCTTATGCTCAGCAAATTTTGCTGGGCGTGTGTTTCTTATGGTGACGAGCCGGATGTGGACACCTTCTACGCGTACTACGAGCTGCAAAAGCAGCCGAAGAAGAAGAAGGAGGTGCGGGAGGGCAAGGAGGTGGAGGTGACCTACCAATATGGTAGTTGCACCTTTATGTCGAAGAGGAACCAAGGCGTAGACCGCCTAGAGCTTTCTTTTTGCCAGAAGGGCAAGTGGGACCGCGGCTGGCTTGAGCAGTGGTTCTACGTGAAGACCTACGGGGTCCGCGGCACTACCGAGGATGGTGCGGAGGTCGTGGAGTATCCATTGACTTCAAGAATGGAGGAGATGGTGCCGCATACGCGCGTGGATCCGCCGGAGGAAAAGTCTCCGGCGAGGAAGGCTTGCGACCGGGCTTTTGCGGCTGCGTGCCGCTACTCCGGGGGCCGCGACCTGGTGGAGGAGATTATGGCCTCCAACTACTGGCCCCTAGGCAAGGACAACCCGGCCTTTCGGCTGGAAAAGGTGAAGGTTCCTGTTTTTGGTCCGGAGGCCGGGATTCCTTTCCCCCGCTTTGGTCGGTCTTTAGGGGAGGGGGTGACGGAGGACAGCTTCGTTGCCGACGTTGAGGAGGCCGCCGTCGGGTTGGTTGACAAAATTTCCGAGCGTGAGTACACGTCTCGGAGAGCCATGGCAGGCACCATGCCGTGGCTCAATCGTGTTTTTGAGGAGCTCGGGATCGTGTACCGGGAGCGCGAGGTTCCCGCCGAGGTCCTAGCTTCAATTGACAAGAAGAAGAAGAAGGCCTTCGCGAAGAATGTTACGGCGGAGGCCGAGTCCAAGAAGAGGAAGGGCGCCGCTGTAACTCAGGCGCCCGCGAAAAAGAAGAAGAAGGCCGGTGCTCTGGTGATCGCGACGGCCGCATCTTCGGCCAGTAGTGCTAGCATTGCCTCCGCCGGCAGTGAAGACCCTCCGTCCCGTCAGTGGACGTGCGGGTCGCGAGCGGCGAGGATCGCGGCTCTCTTGGAGCTCCGGTGCGCCCTGTGAGCGGTGCTAGGCGTCCGGAGGCCAGCGCTGCTCCGGCGTGCTCCTTGCACGGTGCTGCGAGTGTCGCCGAACAGCCGGAGGCTAGCGCCGCCGATCCTATGCCTGGCATTTTTGGCGGGTTGTATTCAAGTTCTGAAGATGGCGCGGAGGTGGCCTTGCAGCACGCTCCTTCGTTTCCTGCTGTTGTTGCACCTTCCTCCGCGCCAGCGGCAGACGTCGGGCAGCCGGAGGCCGTGCTTGCTGAGCAGGCGCCGGCGGCTCAGTCTTCTTCGAGCCCTTCGCCCGCCAGGCCGCTGGCTGAGGAGAGCCGGCCCTTTGGGCCTTCGCCGCATGATATGGCGGAGACATCTGCCCAGGGGGCTCGGCAGGCGGCCCAGCCTAGGCTTTTTATGAGTAAGCTTGTTTGGCGCATATTTTTGTGTTTACTGTCTTCGCCCGGTTTATTTGTTTATGTATTGTACCAAGTGCTAATACTGTGTACTTGTTGCTTTGTAGGTGATGTAATGGCTGGACTCCTCACCCCGGAGGAGCGAGCGGTCGCTGCCAGCGTCAGGTTTGGTCCGGGGCAACCGGGGCTGATGGCGCCGGGTCCGAGTGAGTATAGAGTGTTTTTATCTTACTCGTCTTTTGGCCTGTTGTTATTGCCTATTTCTGATCGGCCCTCTGACCTGAGTTGTTGTTGTGTTTTTTTGCTACGCAGGCTCCTCTGACACTTCTATCTCAGGTTGGGAAGAGTGCTATCTTGGGGTTCTTGGAGACGTCGGAGGTGGTCTCTGGTAGTTGGTGTATTTATTGTGAGATATGCTTTTCTCACCTTATTGTTTTGTGTTTGTTTGTTCTTCTTTGAACAGATTGCTTCAAACAGCGTCTGAGGGACATGGATTTCTTCCAACTTCTCCGTGTTCATCTAGAACACCAGAGCTTGGTGTGTCTTCGGCGGTTTGCCTTTTTTGGTGTATGTTTGCCTTTAGACTTGTTTTTGTTTCTATTGCTGATCGCCTTGGTCTTCTTCTTTCTGATCGCAGGGGTATCACATGGCCGTTGTTATGGAAGAGCGCTGCACTCATGAGGTCTCCAATCGAGATACTGCGATTGAGGCCCTCAAGGCGGAGATCGAGCGCCTAGAAGGTGAAAAAGGGGGTTTGGCCAACTCCCTTGCAGCTCTCTGCCTTTCTCTGGCAGAGAAGGAACAAGAAAAGGAGGCTTTGAGGGCCGATCTCGCCAAGGCCCGGGATGCGGAAGCTTTGTCCGCCGAGCAGGCCTGCAGGGCGAACGAGTTGGTCGAGGGTCTCCGGCGAGAGCTGGAATCTGAGAAGGAATCCGCGGCTGCGGTGGGGGAGCAGCTGTCTTTGTCGACGAGGCGTTTGGACTCAGTCAAGGGGGTCCTTGCTGCAACCGTTGGCCATTATCGGGCCATCGTCGCCGAGTTCGGAGGCGAAACCTCCGCTCCTCCGGAGGAAGACAGCGTCTACGCCCTCACCTCCTGGCTAAAGCATCACCTTGCGAAGCTCCCTGGTCTGATCAATGGCTGCACGGACTACGGGGCGCTAGCGGGAGTAGCGAATTACGCCAAGCTTTTGGTGTGCGGCGGGTGCACGCATACCGAAAGTATTCCAGAGGGAGCGCTGCCGGGTCCGGAGGAGCTTGGTGAGACTTCTCTTGGTTTGCGAAAAACCTTGAGAAATTTCAT